TCAAAAAAAAAAAAAAAAAGACTTTTTCAAAGGCTTCAGGCTTTCTTCTTTGAGGAAAAGGCAAGATGGTAGGTAGGTGGGGCATAGGGAATTCTGAATGGGATGTGGTGAGTAAGGATGCGGTGGGAAGCCGCGGCCTGATGGGGCTGGAAGGGCAAGTTGAACAGGATCTGGCTACATGGGAGGACAGCTGGGTAGACCTGGAATGGGAAGGTGTGTTAGGCAGGGCTGCCATCACATGGTCCCACAGGCTGGGTGACTTACACAGCTGAAATCTATTTCCTTACAGCTCTGGAGGTTGGGCGTCCAAGATGAAGGTATCAGCAGGTTTGGTTTCTTCTGAGACCTCTGTCCTTGGCTTGCAGATGACCATCTTCTCCCTGTGTCCTCATAATGGTTGCTCCTCGGTCTGTGTCCTGATTGTTCTTATGAGGATGCCAGTTATATTGGATGAGAGCCCATCCTAATGACTTCATTTAACCATAATGGCCTCTTTAAATATCCTGTTTCCAAATACAGTCACATTCTGAGGTACTGGGGGTTAGGCCTTTAACACTTGAGTTTTGGAGGAGGGGACATTTTCAGCCCATAGCAGAAGGTAAGTTAGCAGGGATTGGTGGCATTTGAAGGCTACCTTGCACTCAGTTAGAAGTGAGGGAGTTGGTGTTTCATAATCTTCAGACACACAGATGGAAACAGCAGCAGTGGGGAAGCAGTGCTGTTTTCTCTCCACAGGACAGCATTCCTGATTATGGAATATGTCACTGTAATTTTAATTCATTGTTCTCAGTCATCTTGCTAGCAGGATCTTTGATGGTGAAGCATTAAGAGTTCAGGTGATTGGTTAAGAACACACCTCAAATTGCTCATGACTCAGCACACACTGACCGTTCAGATGCAAAGCCCAAATCATGCAGAATCTTACAACGAAGACTTAGTTCGAATTTGAAATCTTCAGCTTCCTATAATCGCTTCACTACTTAATTTTCGTTTTCTCTTTGACAAATTTCTCCCAGGTCCTTGATCCTACTCTTGGTAAACCCTTCTTGGAAATGTTATAAGCAGTATTTCCCCACAAAATTCCTTGTCATTCTCTTATTTGCATCCCTGGCTAATAATGATGAGCTTCCCCATTTACTTGATCCTGCCTGGTGTCAACATAAATAACAAACAGAGAGGCTCTCTAAAAGAAAATTGTGTTTATTGGGAAATAAGGGATTGCAGTGGGAATATGTGTGCCACAGCAAACTATGATTTAGGGAGCATATTCAGGGAGGTAAAGGAAGAGAAACTTTTTTTGTTTTTTGAGTAGGAGTCTCACTGTCACCCCAACTGGAGTGCAGTGGCATGATCACACCTACCGCAGCTTTGACCTGCTGGTCTCAGGCAGTCCTTCCACTTCAGCCTTACAAGTAGCTGGAACTACTTTAGCCACCATGTCCAGCTAAAATTTTTTGATTTATTGTAGAGATGAAGTCTCGCTATGTTACCCAGGTTGGTCTCGAACTCCTGAACTCAGGACCTTCCCTTGCCTTGGCCTCCCAAAGTGCTGGGATTACAGGCATGACCCATTGTGCTTGGCCTAGACAAATTTTTTTTCTTTTTTTGAGTTGGAGTCTCACTCTGTCGCCCAGGCTGGAGTGCAGTGGCCACTCCCGGACACTGCAGCCTTGACCTGCTGGACTCCGGCGATCCTTCTGCCTCAGCCTTCCAAGTAGCTGGAACTACAGGCGTGCGCTACCACGCCCAGCTTATTTTTGATTTATTGTAGAGATGAGGTCTCGCCAAGTTGCCGAGGCGAGTCTCGAACCTGCAGCCTCAGGCAATCCACTCACCTCGGCCTCCCAAAGCGCTGGGATTACAGGCAGAGCCACTGAGCCCGGCCGACAAATGTTTTAAAGAAAAAAATGAGATGGATTACCTAATTGTTTTGGAATAATTATCCTTGGCTACAATAATCAAAGCAAGGGTGATACCAATCTGAGGTCGGACAGGCAGTTTCTAGGCAGAAGTCCTTGAAGAAGTATTTTTTGTGTAAGGTTTTTGTGTGCAAAGTTGTCCTTTTTGCAAAATCTTGTGATAGTTTTTGTTATCAGGCACACAAGCATGAGAACCTTTTCCTTATAGCTTTCCCAGGCTCTATTTGTCAGGGTTTTTAGCTTTTTAACACAAGTGACTCCATTTTGATTCTGACAACTTTCACATTGGTATGGCAACTGGTTCTGAATTAATCCAAGAGTCTTTGTGGGGCACTGCAGGCCATGAGATTGAGCTTCACTGTACAGAGTCACCCATTTCCGTTGTGGTCATGTGTGACAGACTGGAATGGGAGAGAGAATAAAATACAGCGTTTTTAACATTAAAAAAATTCTCTTTCAGGTTCTGCATCACTCTTTCTTCCCTCATGCTCTTGACCCAGAGGGTCACATCCCTGTCTCTGGACATTTGTGAGGGGAAAGTGGAGGCAGCATCAGGAGGCATCAGAAGCAGGAGCTCTTTGTCTGAGCATCTTTGTAAAGCACTGCCCTATTTCAGCTACTTGCTCTTTTTCCCTGCTCTCCTGGGAGGCCCTCTGTGTTCCTTCCAGCAATTCCAGGCTTGTGTTCGAAGGTCCGACTCTTGGTGCCCTAGGCACTCTCTCTGGGCTCTGAGCTGGAGGGGTCTGCAGATTCTCGGCCTCGAGTGCCTGAAGGCGGCTGTGAGGAGGGTGGTGAGTGCAGGAGCGGGACTGACCACTTGCCAGCAACTGGAGTGCGTCCACGTCATGTGGGCCACAGCCGGGCTCTTTAAACTCACCTACTACTCCCAGTGGATCCTGGATGACTCCCTCCTCCGTGCAGCGGGCTTTGGGCCTGAGTTTGGTCAGAGCTCTGGTGAGGAAGAATATGTCCCCGATGGGGACATTTGGACACTGGAAACAACCCACAGGATATCCCTGTTTGCGAGAAAGTGGAACCAAAGCACAGCTCGGTGGCTCCGACGACTTGTATTCCAGCACAGCAAGGTCTGGCCATTGGTGCAGACATTTGCCTTCTCTGCCTGGTGGCACGGACTCCATCCGGGACAGCTGTTGGGTTTCCTCTGCTGGGCTGTGATGGTGGAAGCTGACTACCTGATCCACAACTGTGCCAATGTGTTTATCGGATCCTGGCCCATGAGGCTGCTCTATAGAACCCTGGCCTGGGCCCACACCCAGCTGATCATTGCCTACATCATGCTGGCCGTGGAGGCGAGGAGTCTCTCCTCTCTCTGGTTGCTGTGTAATTCGTACAACAGTGTCTTTCCTCTGGTGTACGGTATTCTGCTTTTCCTATTAGCAAAGAGAAGGCATCAATTTAACTGATGTCTTTCTCTCTGGCTTTCACCTCATATATCAGTGAAATGGAGTTTAGAAAGTGCTAGATGATGCATCGATAATGTGTATATTTGAACTTTTTCATAATAAAGTATTGGATGGATAGATCTGATGACTTGCCCTAGAAATCTGTGTCTACTTTTTTTTTTTTCAATTGGAGTCTCACTCTGTCACCCAGGTTGGAGTGCAATGGCACGCTCACAGCCACCACAGCCTTGGCCTGCTGGGCTCAAATGATCCTTCCACCTCAGCCTTCCAAGTAGCTGGAACGACAGGTGTGCACCACCAATGCCCGGCTAGTTTTTATTTATTTTTTATTGTGGAGACAAGGTCTCACCAAGTTGCCCAGGCTGGTCTCAAACCCCCGGACTAAATCCTCTCGTCTCAACCTCCCAAAGTGCTGGGATTACAGGCTTGAGTTACTGTGCCTAGCCCTGTGTGTCTACTTTAACAAGCTATTCTGTTGGTATTGAGGATATAAAAAAGAAAAAAATGTGGTTTCTTGCCATAGGGCTTACAGTCTAGGTGTGGAAGCAAAGCTTTAGTAAAATAATACATAAAAACACAATGTACTGGGAACTAAATAGCAAACGGTCTATATGTGAACACCCCAAAATTGAGTGTCCAGTGCCCCCCTTGATCCTGAAACGTGAACTTGAGCAGTACAAAGACAAAAACAAAACAAAATCCTAATCATATTGGTTTGTTATATGACCTAGAGACTCTCCTCTATCCGTAGTTTGAAAAATTTGTTCTAAAAATAGAAAGGCTGATTTACTCCCAAAGATATGTTAACAGACTGAAAATCCATCTAAGACTTGATAGCTACTTACATAATTGTTACATACAAAACTGACTCATGAAACATGTCTTACGAAGAGACCAAAATCTGGAAGTAAGCACTATTTTAGTATAACTTTAAGGAAAGGTCTGACTCCTTTTTCTTGGCATATCCTAAATAACTCCCTCTGTTTCTTTCTCTGTTAGGATTTAAAATACTCCAAGAGGAAGGTATCAGGACCCTCCCCACAAGTTGTACTAAAGCAATGTCGTTAACTAGAACCAGGTCGCCTGTAATGCTATATAACTACTATTTTTCTTTTCTCTTCTTTTTTTATTTTGAGGTAGGGTCTTATTCTGGTGCCCAGGCTGAAGTGCAGTGTCACAATCATGGCTCACTGCATCCTTGATCTCCTGGGCTCAGGCGATCCTCCTGCCTCACCCTCCTGAATAGCTGAGACTACAGACGTGCTACTGTGCATGGCTAATTTTTAATGTTTTTGTAGAGACGAGGTCATGCTATGTTGCCTGGGCTGGTCTTGAACTCCTGGGCTCAAGCAATCCTCCTGCTTCGGCCTCCCAAATTTCTGGGATTACAGGTGTCAGCCACCATGCCTGGCTTACTGGGTTTTTTAAAATCAGCTTTGCAAACACAACTTACTTTTTAAAACCTCCCTTCTTTCTAAGCAATGGCATGGATGAAAATTGGGTTTGATGTGCTAATTATATTTTATTTTAGAACTCACTAAAAGAATCACATATTTGTTCAAATGAAAGATATTTAATGGTTAAAACTATCTGCCTACTTAGGGTGATATTTATCCCACCATAAGAAGTACTGTAGAGGTGTCTAAGCTTGTTGAGTATTCCAAATCAATCCTTTCATACTTTTCAAAATGGAAAAGCTGCAAACAGGCTTTTGATCTAGAAAACCTGATAATGATAATACTAAGTTAGAAGTTATAGATCTCTTAGAAAGTTATAGGTCAATATCACTAATTAACATTAAGGCAAACAAAAAACCAAGAAGTTCAAGCTTAGCACCTAGAACACAACACAGCAAGCAATGAAAGCCTTGATGAACAGAGATAACATGAATTTTTAGTGGCCTAGTCAGAATGGTTCTATATTTTCTCTCACCACATCCTACTTAATAGCTCAGAGGAGCTGGACATGGTGGCTCATGCCTGTAATCACAGCACTTTGGGAGGCTGAAGTGAGAGAATCGCTTGAGCCCAGGAGTTCAAAACCAGCCTGGGCAATATAGTGAGACCTTGCCTCTACCAACAAATAAAAAAATTAGCCTGGTCTGGTGGCTCAAGCCCATAGTCTCAGCTACTCAGGACGCTGAAGAGGGAGGATTGCCTGAGCCCAGGAGGTTGAGGCTTTGGTGAGCCGTGGTTGTCCACTACAGAGTGAGATACCCCAACTCCAAAAAAAAGCTGGGCACAGTGGCTCAAGCCTGTAATCCCAGCATTTTGGGAGGTTGAAGCTAGAGGATTGCCTGAGCTCAGGGGTTTGACACCAGCCTGGACAACTTGGTGAGACCTCGTCTCTACAATAAATAAAAAAAGTAAGCTGGGCATCGTAGTGCATCGTAGCTGCTTGGAAGGCTGAGGTGGAAGGATCGCCTGAGCCCTGCAGGTCAAGGCTGAGGTGGCCATGAGTGTGCCACTGTACTCCAGCCTGAGCCACCGAGTGAGACTTCAACTCAAAACAAACAAACAAACAAACAAAAAACCTCAGAGGAGACAAAATGGACAAATGGGTTCCCAGAGTTGAGAATAATCACGGGGATGTTCAAGGACACTAAGGCCATTGCAAATATATCGCTGAAATGACCATCCTTAGATTAACTCATAGAGGCAATGGGGTGGGTGGTGGTGTTGGTAATAGCAGTACTGTAAGTTGGGAGGAAATTTTTAGAAAAATTATGATTGACTATGACAGCTATTAAAAACAAGTGCTTTTGTGACAGAGCAAGACTGAATCTAGAAAAAAAGAAAATGTTTTTTTATTGGAGTGCTTCTGGGGAGCTGTCTGCAAGAGTGTGTTCAGTTGATAGAAATCCTTTGAGATGTATACTTAAGGTGTATGTAAATTTCTGTATATATGTTACAATTCAATAATTTTTTTAAGTGAGTACTTTTAATGATTAGGGAAATGCTTAGGAGGGAATAATTAATTTAAAAAAGGAGTTGGGCCACTCATGGCGGCTCAAGCCTATAATCCCAGCACTTTGGGAGGCTGAGGTGGGAGGATCACTTGAGGCCAAAAGTTTGAGATCAGCCTGGGCGATGTGGCAAGACCCCATCTCTACAAAAAACTAAGAAATTAACCAGTTATGGTGACATACACCTGTAGTTCCAGTTACTCAGGAGGTTGAGGCAGGAGGATCGCTTGAGCCCGTGAGTTCCAAGACTGCAGCAGTGAGCTATGATTGTGCCACTGCACTGCAGCCTAGGCAACAGAGCAAAACCCTGTCTCTAAAAAAAAAGAAGTTGGTTAATAAGCCCTTAAAATGCAATCTGGCCTCTAAATATATCTCCCTGTTGGTGGCTCAGGGTAATTTCTACTCCTCTTATTAGCTAAACCAGGTTGTTTGCTTCGTTCCCTTTCTGTTTGCTTCCTAGAGGGAGTGTCTTGCTCTGCTGGACAATATAAAGGACAATGTGATTTGAGAGAATTGATCTAAGGAAAAAAATGTGATTTGAGGGAATTGATCAAAGGGAAAGGACAGAGTGAGATTCCAACTCAAAAAAATAAAAATAAAAAAACCTCAGAGGAGACAAAGTGGACAAATGGGTTATGTTACTAGGGGATAGAGATTTTCAAGCTCTATTGTAATTTTATGGACCCATGGTCATATATGTGGTCTGTTGTTGACTGAAACCTTGCTATGAGGTATCTATATTTAGGTCATGAAGGCTTCACCCTCATGAGAGGATTAATGTTGATTATAAAAGGGCTTGAAATTGCAAGTTTGATCTCTTTCTCTCTCTCCTCTCTCTCACACATGCTCTTTTGCCTTTCTGCCTTCTATTATGGGATGATGCCACAAGAAGCCTTTGCCAGATGCGAGCCACTGGACCTTGGACCTCCCAGCCTTCAGAATTGCAAGAAATAAACCTTTATTCTTTATAAATTATACAGTCTCAGGTATTCTGTTATAGCAGCACAAAATTGACTAAGGCAGAGGCCCAGATGGAGAGTTTAAGGAGTTCACACTAGCAAGTGTTAGGAGATCTCTCAAACAAGAAAAGTACCAAGAAATTGTGTTCTTCCTTCTGTAGGTAATGAACCCTCCCTCTTGGCAACTAAGAGGCCCCAGCAGCTGCCTGCCAAACCTGGTGAAGAGGGAAGGATCAGTGAGGAGCATGTTGATGATGAGGCAGTTTCAGTGGGTGTGAAAGAATCGATTTGACCACCATAATCATAGGAGCATCGTAAAGACCCAAGTATTTTGGGTAATTGCTGTAATAATGCATGGCAAGGTGGTAATTATTCTGATTAAAATGCCAACTGTTAAAGAGTACATTCAAGTCACTTATAACAGATTCTTCTTTACAGGTTTTGTTTGTTTTTTAGAAAGCAGGATTTATTGAGAGGACAGAAAAGCTCCCACAGTAGGAGGGCACCCAAGGGGTTGCCTTCTTTACAGGTTTTTAGCATAGCAGGTGGTACAGGAAACTTGCTTCTCTATGGTCTCAGAGTTCAGCACTGAGAGATGAAGGGATAGTTATTTTTATGTGAACTTTTTCCAGATGTCCAACTGCACTTATTTCCGAAAGAAATGGTAGAATAAAATGGGCATTACTGCTTTAGCATATTTTTTTTCATAATAAGTGCTATTCTGATGTTAGCAAAGCCTCTCTGTGGGGAAGTAGCTTGAGCCCCTCTCTGGGAGGCAGGAGGTGTGGTTTCGACCCAGTTCTAGCACCGACCAGCTGTGAGACCCAAGCAATTCCCTCTGGGACCCAAGTTTCCTAGTGTGCCAAAACAAATGGTGGATAAAATATCATTTAAGAGTACTCAATTTTAAAACAGAAGAGATTATGATTATGTAAGTACTCTACCAAGGTTTCAACACATTAAGCAGAAAAAGTAAAGCATCCATCTCCCAACCTGCCTCTATTCATCTGGCAAAATTTCATAGAAGGAAATAGAAGAAATCTTTATAAACAACTGGCATTTTTTTTTTTTTTGAGTCGGAGTCTCACTCTGTTGCCCAGACTGGAGTGCAGTGGCCGCTCCCGGCCACCGCAGCCTCGACCTGTCGGGCTCCGGCGATCCCTTCCACCTCAGGTTTCCAAGTAGCCGGAATT